TAATGAGTTCATCTAATATTTTCCACAACATTGCACTATTTAAAGTCATGATCAATGTGCAGTAAAATTTTGAGAGTATAAATTCATGATTTAAATACCCTATAATAATAAGTCTTAATATTTCGTAATTTGTAAATTTCATTGTAGTGTTAACTGATATATAGTAAATAGTAAAAACTTTTTTTTGTTTATAATTTTATTAAAATTTTAACATAAATATTTTTAAAAAACAATTATTTATTTTAGATTCCAAGTGGAGGCCATGATCATGAATGTATTGATTTACAATGATTTGTGGTTTTTTGAGAGTATGCCTTAGGTATATAATGTATAGTAAAACAATAATTTAGATTTCAACATTAATATCTTTTCTGCAAGGTAGGAAATTTAATTGAGTAGGTCAAAACCAAAATTTCCAATTTTTTTTATATAATCAGAAAAACAAAAAAAAAAACAATTAGGAAAAACTGGAATTTTCACGCAAAATTATTTATTCCCAAATCGAATTTTTATTTTGTCGTCATTCAAAAATAAATGAATGCAAAAACTTGAATCTTTTACCAAATTTTTTTGGTTAATATTATCTACACAAAAATGTTGACTTTTTAGTTGTTTCCTATAAATATTGTCATATTGATAAATAAAAATTTCTCAGTTTAAAAATCTTGACAATTTGATGCAATGTTTCTCATAACTTACTTATACAAGAACCAAAAAATCAAAACAATGATTTACCAATACAATTTTTTTAAGACATTTATTATTGAATAATAATAACTCGTCAATAAAACAGATACATTCATTTTTTTTGTTTAATAAAATCATGTATAAATACTATAAATAATCAGTAGGTATAACGTCTTATAATGATTTGTATTAATGTATTTTGGTTACTTATAGAACTTTCTTAGGTCTTTAAAACTTTATAGAATTTTCGAATTTATTTTACTATCTATTTTTGTTTTACGCATACTATAGTACCAGGCTTGAACCAATTTTATGATATTGATGATAATTTGGTGAATGTATAAGTATAATAATTTATAAATGGTTATTTAAATTATGCACATTTTTGCAATGTATTATGCCTTTTGTAGTTTACTATACTGGCATTAAGTTGCAAGCGACATTCAAGCTTGGACAAACAAAAGACGAGCGTCAACCGTCATCACACGATCATATTATATTATAACTTACAGACACGGAATACCTGAAATAATTTTTTTCATTCAAAACATAACATGCTTAACCAGCAACCGTTAACATTATTAGGTTAACGTTTCTTCACTCACGGTGACAGCCATCTCGTTTTACTCATAAAATCGTAAAGTAGCTATATTATGGTTGTTCATTCGTAATAGTTTAAAAAAACAACCAGCAGCTACCATTACCACTACGCCACCTTCCAAATACTATCGTCGTCTATATTATTATTATTATTACATACCTATTACGATAAACATAATATTATTATATTTGCGTTGATAATTTTGGGCCTATAAGAAGTATAATACACGTACCTATAGGTACATCGATCGCGCGGCGAGTGAAACGAGTGAGAGGGAGAGCATGAACATAGACTTGTGTATATACATATATAATACATTTTACACATAATATAATATTGGCGCCATGTCTACAGCAAAGATAAAAAACAACTTAAGTTGCGCAATTGCCTACGGGCAGTTTAATAACGCTTTTGCTCTTCGGCAATATAACGTATATAATAATATGGTAATTGTCTTATGATTGAACTCAAACGAAAAAACAGCGCTATTATACCAAGGAGGAAATCCTAGAGAAGAAGAGTTATGGAGGTGACAATAATCATTTTTTCGATCACCCTTATACGTAAACATCATATAATCAATTTTCGTCGTGTTATCATCGGTCATGGGCAACCAGTCTGACACTGTGTGTCTATATATTATAGCAACAGTCCTGTTTAGCGCCAAACTAAATGGTTACAATTCCAGTGAACATTAAAATTTAACTTCAGTGGTTCCAACGCATGTCATGAGTACGACAATGACAACGAACTAACTGCAATTAGTGATAAAAACTGATATAAATAAGATCCATTACAATATAAATATGGTTCACAAATATTATCCAATTAAGTATTATAGATGGTATGTATACATTTCGACAAGATTCATAATAATAGTCTTCTATGCAGAATTTCTTTGTAATGTAGGTGGTCTAGCTTACTAATATCTATATGATTATATGTATCTAAAAGTGTTACAAGTAACACAGGATTTATAATTTTTTTAATTTCCTATTCATCATGAACGGTATATTTGTAAATATAAAAGCATTTTGATAATTAAAAAAACCCATTACTGTAATATAACTAAAATAAATAATAGCTTAATTAATATATCAGTTTAATATATAGTGAATCACTACTTAAAAATCTATAGATAGGTACAGCCTATAAAGAATACATTTCACTATCCAGGGTGTTATGTAACTAATAACTATGTAAGTGTGAATTGTACCTGTGTAATAWATAACACGTGCTACCAATATTGGCTTATAATTTAAAGTAATTAATAATCTGTTCAAGTTTTGTACTAAAAACAAAATAGCACCGATAAGCAATAATTAAAAACAGTTTCTATGTACACACCTACTTTAATGTGAACATACAAGTGTTTAAAATTTAAAGTAAGTATTTGCTTAATTAGCCTAGAACGAATTAATTATATTTGAAATTGCTACCTACCAATTATAATTACTTAGAAAAATTAATAAATGTATTCCTTCAACACTCAAATTAATAAAAAAAAAAAACTCTTGTTAAAACAATATTATTATATAGGTATTTAATAAATAATAAGTAATAAGCATCACTTAATGTTTCATTAAATAATTTGTTGAGTTTCTAAAAATAAGTAAGATAGGTAGATATACTATTATTTAAATAAATATTAACTAGGTAGTAAATTTAAACAATCAAAAAATGTTAATAATTTACGAAATTTACTCAAATTCTTGTCTATTATCTATTTGTAATTAACATTAAAAGAAAAATCAATTAAAAATCGTTTTACTCCTTCAGATTAGGCCTTGAATTTAAACAAAAATTGGAGAATGTCCATGTACTTCAATATATAATAAAATATAGATATATATTTTATTAAAACTATAGTAATTTTAATTTGTTTGAAATATTCATCTTAGATTTGTTTTTTTAGTAAGAATTGTATGATATACGTGTAAAATAAACGATATAAACAGCAGTTCGGGAGCAGTCCTAAATTTAAATGAAGGTCTCCACGGTCAGTTCATTTCATAGACAGGTGGAACCTTGACTTCAGATACATCGAAATTTATATTTTTAATTTGGAAATACATGGCACATACCTAGGGACAATTTTTTTAAATATTTTACCTATTTAAGTATACTGGGAAGTATACTTTCCTCGTACAAATAAATAATAATCAATTAATTAAGCAACATACCTACTTGAGTAAGTTTATAGTAACCAGAAAATACTGGAATAAATAATATGTAGGCACTTCCATAAATATATTTATATCTACTTTATATTAACATAGGTTATAGGTACAATAATAGTGATAGAATATTTTTTGTTACAATAAGTATTRAGCTATAATAACGATTTTTCTACTATCAGCATAAAATTTTTTTTTTAAACTAAGTTATGTTACACTAGTCTATTGTTATATATGAATATATAATCGTTTATGGACATTTAACAAGATTCATTTCTGAAAGGTATCTTATTAAAGTTACTTATAGAATTGTAGTCATTCGTCCATACTATAGGCATAGGAATACAGGCCTATTATGTGTATTTGACAGTTATACTAAATTCTAAATATATATTTAGTCCTAAAAATGTCATATATAGATTTTAAGGTCGTTTGGTAGACGAAAAATAACTATTGCCAATTAGAATATTGTTATCACGCTATAGGTACATTATAATTCATAATATTATACTTGGATATTTGGACGATAATAATTATAAAGGTCTCTGAAGGTTGAAAAAATCGCCCTACAAACCATGTCACACGATCGATTTGACGTTATTAATAATTCATTAAAAACTAAACGTAAAATCGGAACAATGACTAGTTGTTTTTCGCGTAGTATATCCATACTGTCGTCGTAGACAATATTATTTTAAACGTGTCCTGCGATGCGTGCAGCGGTATATCGATGTAGTGTTATATTATTATGGTCGTTTACATGTGTTGAAACAAAAAGAGAAGTGTATAGCTGCTGGTAGGTCGGTCTATAATATACAACGACTGAATGACGAACACTTGCGCCGGTGCAGTTTTTCATACAAATCGCGTTTCCCAATTAAATCGGCCTTATAAAATAATTATTGCGTCTCTAGCAGAACGTTTTTCGAAATATATATAGGTAATAGGTACTGCAATCGAACATAAAACCAGTTTCGAAAAATCACGTCGATGGCAGAAGCTTTTAACTTCCCCTGTAACGCGACCTTAAAACACGTTGATGTTCTGTTTCCTATAATATAATATCGAAACCGGCGAAATGATATTTCCTGTTTGTCGACGATGGATCGACAATAAAACCCGCCAAAACGCAACACCCGTAGTTAAATAATATTTTACCCAATGACAAAATATCGTATGGACGAAATTCGTACGAAATCGACTAGAAGATAAAAAATGGCTTCTAAATACAATTTTCTTCCCTCAAATTTACCTCCAACACACCAACAAAAAAGGTCATCAGCTGCCCAGATGGACTAAGCATAACTCGCGATTGTCGGTGACATAATTTATTCCAAGACTCCGAGTGGCTAACTATTTATTATAATGACATTAACGACGTACTACGAGTACTACGATGATAATATTATTATTATGTAACAACATAATATCATGACGTACCTACCTATTTAATTATACCGATCATAACATTTTATTCAATAATAATAATATACTAATGTGCCCTAGAGCTGTATTAAGTAGTACGAAAAACTCACGTTTCCTCGACGGGGTGTATGGCTCGTCCCGCGCACAGAGAGTGCAGTTGTCGTATTATCCAAAACGTCGACAGGTAAGTGCACCGAACGGGTAATAGAAACAACGGCAACGYGAACGAACGTACAGGTAAATAATAACGATTGCCGCGGACGCAGTCGATAATATATTATTTCGCACTGTCGACCGACCGCCGACTCATCGGAGGGATGAAAAATCGATAAAAACCGGTTGAACTTTTTCGGCAACTGGTGTATTATTATTATTTAAAATACTATCGTTCTGTACAATTATTATCGTGTGTTGTTGTCCGTGATCGCGACTGACGTTTGGAAAACCGTCCGTACTACGGGCACGTTTGAAATTCGAATCGATAATAACCCGCGCGGGYACGCGACCAGAAAGACTAAAATATAAACGAGACACTGCGCGCGAAAAATTCTCTCGGTCGTCAAGCCCCGTGAGAGGGACAAAATATTCTAATTTCGATTTATTATAATATTATATCACACAATAAACGATAATATTCTATGGGCAGTGCGTGCGCGTGTTCGAACCAGCCGGTCGCGATACGTATCGGTGTGCGCACTGACTGTCGTCTGCGTGCGTGTGTGCGTCGGCCGGCGAGCGAACGTTTTGGCCGGAAGGTCAGCTGATTAGAAAGAAAGTACCTGCCRCCGCAGTGGTGGGAGTCACGCGACGTTGATCGCGTATCGCCGCGCACGTATAGTTATATATTATTATTTATTATATATTTATATATTGCTATTATATGTATTTTATTATTATTGTACATCTACATTTAGTGAAATGTTGTTATTATTATTGTTACATCGTTTGTTATTGTTATTATGTGTTATTGGCCATTAAAGCTTCCCCTCCGCCCCATCCAGTAGATTCGTACGCGTTCGCATATTTTTTCTGGTCCATCTGCAATGTACGACCAAGCGAGCGCGTTGTTTGTTTGTTGGTCACAACGAATTCAAAATACGCGGTATTCTATTTTGGCGAATTTATAACGTGAGCCGCAAGATGACAGGAAACATGCGTACTTACACAATACAGAATTCATTAAGTAACCGTGGTATATTATACAGGACCTAACATATACGCGGGTTTGTTTTTATATACAGTCTTTGTACGGAGTCTGTAGTTATATGTAAACATATAGGTACGATTTTAATAGATATATATATATATATATATATATATATATATATACGATTTTACACAAATTAGTTTTTCCCGCCAACCGCGGTAAGTGTGGTAACTCACTGTTTTCATCTATCGGTTATCAATATTATCATACTTCTCCGCTGCAAGGAARAACGTTACGTCATATATATATTATTATGTTTCTGCAAGTTCTTTTGGTTTTAACTTTTAATGAATATTCGTGATACTGCAATGTTTTTCCGTGCYGTGGAAAAAACATCAATTATCACGCTATAGGCTTGTTTCCACTAGTCACTACACACACGTTCACGCAAATCCTTTGCTGCAATTGGTTGGTTGGGTTAGGTTACCACATGATTAACCATGTTACCGTGTTATTGGACATAGCTGAACATGGCACGTGCATACGGAATACGTGTAAAGTACTAAAGTGGAAACCAGCCTTAAAGCGGAAAGTTAATGAAAATCACTATAGTTTTTATTTGTCGATATMTTAATCGTGAAATGGTCGATATAGCTGTGACCAATTATAAACCATTAGATACATAGTCAAATATTGTCCACTAATGAAATTTGATGGAGGCATCAAAGAAATCCATTCGGTGAGTGCGGATACGATAGAATATTTGTGATTAACTTAACGCAAAAAAAAAGAAGATATGGAAATCGTAAGCTATCGAAGCCAACAGGCAAAAATCGACAAACAAACTTAATAATTATACAATACATTTTTATCTTTTTTACTTATCTTACTTATTTATCAATTTATTTGTTTTGCGTTTAAATTTTATTTTATAAGTACCTTATATAATCTTTTTATAGGTATCAATAATATTTTATACAAATTCGTAGCAATATGCTAAAAAAATCAGATGTGCATCTTTATTACGAAACTACTAAAATGCAATATGTGATTATCTGTTGATAATTGAAAAATATAAATATTTAAGTTAAGTAATCAACCAATAGGTTACTAGTTACTGCTGAATGCTAATACTATACAGTAGTCACTCGACAATTCGAAAAACTCCATAAATCGAACTAAACGTTAAGTCCCTGAGAAAACCTCTATAATTAAAAGAAAATACATGTATTCCGGTCCCCTCGATAATTCGACATGTTTGTTGGTGGGACACACTCAACAATTCGAATTTTTATTTCACGAACCTCTACAATTCGAATCAAAATCTTGCGATCAGTAAGTTAGACAACGCTATGGACTAGATTGTAGCCAGCAATTTATCATTTAAAAAAAAAACAGATTTCTTTAATATGTAAAATATAATAATATAGTAGGTAAATAAAATAAATATCAATTAATAATAAATTTTAAAATATGTATTTATAATWAATAAATGTGGTATGTACATACATATAATTTTTCACATCTTTTTAATTTTAATTAATTATTTWCTCTCGATTATTCGAACATTCGATAAATTTAAAACCTCTATAAATCAAATTTTTAACTCAGTCCCTTGAATTTCGAATTATCGAGTGACTACTGTACTTAYTAATTACTACTATCTACAATTAGGTACCTATTTATATATTGATAATGTGATAACTCATACCTGATTAGTGATACGTTTTGTACAATCAGTATAAATATTATCAAATATGTACTTTTTAGTAGAAGTAGTTTATTCATACTACATTACTACCTATATTGGAAAACAGTATATATGACGTTCTAATATGCTCATTATGTCAAATCATAAAATATTTAGAATTATAGTAATAATAATAATATACCTACCTATAGGTGACTGATGAGCATAATATAGGTATTATAGTTACCTTGACTCGCCGCCTGCCGTTTATCTTCAGAAAACAAAAAATAGTGATTCTCAAATGTTTGGTCAACATTTCATTGCACTGCACTCAACTAAATATAACATTTGAAGAAGTCTTTAAAAAATTATTCAATCCAGAAATATTTCAAAATTCAGAAGTCGTCACGGACATGATGATAACGGCCGTCGCAGTTGTGACTTTCCTAGGAAGTAAGATTGACCATCGACCTGACGGAGAATATCGCATACGCGTTGCAAGGAGTGCATAGATAATTAAATCTTGAATAGGATCTTTCATCATGCGTACCTACTATGTATGTAGCTATTAAGACATTATAAGCTGATTCTTGATGCTACAATRAATACATGATTTATAAATGATCCTAAAACCCGACTATTTGTGCGCATGTGCGTAATTCAAATGGGCATGGATCAGTTGCACCTAAAACAATATTTGTATTTTAGGTCAGTATACCAATTCCGCCGCTTAAATTTTAGGTCAGTACACCAATTGCGCTACTTATATTTTAGGTTCCTTATTTTTACATGGACATATTATGTAAGCAAGTTACTACACGGCGGAAAAAGTTACATATATATGTATATACACAATTAAATATAGCTAACTAATATACATTCAAATATACTTAATTTAAAGCAAAACGTATACGAAATTACGGGAAAATACGACAAGCTACAAGCTGATATAGTACCTACCTATCCCGACTCGACGTAGGGCGAAATATAAAATATTTTATTTATTATTATTATCGAACATATTATAAAGTACGAATTTGAGAGATRGATTACTAGTATAACAAGTTTTCATTATCATTAATGATTGTTTTCCACCTATTATTTATCTGCCTAATTTGTACGTTCCACACACTGTCTAAAGGTACTATACAGACATATTATATTTTTATGTATATTAATTATTTTTTATTGACGTGTATGATTTGGTATAGATTTATATTGTACAATTATTATTAACATTGATGTTCAACAATAATTTTTTTGTATTGACTGAAAAAATTATATAATACAAATTTTTATAAAAGTATTTTTAGGTGTAAWGTAGAATAATATTATAATCCCTGAAAATAACTGAGCGCAATTGGTCTATCGACCCAAAAAATACAGAGCGCAATAATTGGTATATATCGACCCAAAAAAGACTGAGCGCAATTGGTATATTAAAAGGTCATTTTAAGCACAATTGRTAAACTCCCATTCAAATTGGTTATTCTGATTGGGTTATCAGTCATTCACGCATACGTAGTAATAATAAGGCTCTAGCTCCTCAATCATGTTGGTATCAAATCAAATACACTGTCATAAATAATTATGCCGCATAATGGGTATGGTTACATCCATATTATATGATCTAAGAATAGGACATAACATTTAATCAACGATGATCAAAGATTCCAAAGGACAAACAAGACAAGTGTATACTATTATTTCGAGTATCGACTATCGATATATTATACATAATCATATTATTCATATTATAGAAAACATGTAAGCAAACAGTTTAAATTTGTTATCACTTCATGATCACGAAAATAAATATATTTGCCCACATGCAGATTATGCTAGATATAGATAGCCGAATCCACATGTTATTGTACAATCAAACATGAAGTTGGTYGCCATAATATGCAGTTAGTATAATGTTTATACAAACTGAAGTTAAATTCCAATATGATAGTTGATAGTGTTATAACAAATATTTGTAAACAATGTCCTATCTGCATATGGCGTCTATATATAAGCGTCATTAATCTGAAGAGAGTCGACCATCTAGTACGTAGTACGTATAATATACAGATCTCTATGTATAATGGCCTCAATCTGACGAACATACAAATGTCATAGATCCGGCGACATGTGTTGCTGAGCTACTGCATAATTGTTTCATGCATTAAACATCACGTCAGTGATAAAATAACATTCAAATCACCGCGTGAATTTAAATATTATATTCATTATTTTATTTTATAATATAAGTAAATAATAAAATTAAATATTGTAATTTTTTAAATCTTATTTGTATAATTTTTTCAGCACTTATAATACAAAAAAAATTATAATATTCTATTAGGTATGGCCTAAAAAAAAAATAATAATAATTAATTGAACTTTACCTGCTTAGTGTATACATAAGTGTAAAAATTTGCTTGTATTATTAAATTCAATAATGATTATAATATTTAAATTCACGTGGTAGTTTGAATGTTATCTTATCACAGACGTTGATATGAAAATATGGAATGAATACATAAAACAATTACAGTGACCAATGTGACCATAATACTTGCACCGGATTTATGTCATATCAATAGTCTGGTCTTCAATCCGCAGCACAGACTTATAATTCTATACTATCTAGATAAGGTTCTCTTAAATTATAAACATTGCCATCAATGAAGCTCGCACGAAGACGGCCGCCATTTTGTTGGTTGGTATACTCAAWATGTATAAGGGACAAATGAAATTAAATATTTTTTTAAATTTGATTTAAAATAATGATGACAAAATGATCTATATAAAATAGTTTTTTTTTGTTACAAACAACAATTCTAGAAATAATAAAATACAATATAACATCAATAAAT